AAAAAAAAGAAAACAATGTCTACATGCTTGTGGAGCATCCAGTCTTCAGCAAATCTCTTTAGCAAGCGCAACGTCATTGGAAAATGCGACTGACCCATAGGTCTAGTGATAAGTCGGAAGTATTTAACTTCTCCTAAACTTTTCGTAATTGTAACAGGTAAAAACGTAAAAGAAAAAATATCGCTCTGACTTGTGATGAGTTTTACATTGATCTCAAATTCTATACCACGCAAAAGTAGTACACTACTCTATACTATTGCAAAAGTGGATCAACAACATCTAATCCCAATGGCAAAGCGCTAAGAGCATAAATAGTTGGGCGCCGTAAATTCTCTGATCCTCTTAATTCGAAAACAAGTCACTGATCCAATCTAGATGATTCAACACAAGTTATGATCTCTTCTCCTTGATAGGAAGGAAGTGGAGCACGTCGAATTTCTTTAATCTCCATGATACCTGAAAATAAACAGTGTAAAAGAAACACAAAAAAATATGTGCGATTCTTAGAGTAGATCTAAACACATAAGTCATCGAGCTAGTCTAATAGAAGTGCATGAACAGTATTCCACTAAGCTAACTCCTTGTAAGAACAAAAATAAAAGCAATAGAACCCACCTGTAAGACTCAGATCACCCATATTTCTTTCAAAGAACAAAGAAGCTGATTCCTATGCTGATCAGGAAGTTACAGACACAGTGGGAGAACAACAACAAGATATGGTTAAACAGGGCTAAGTTTTATAATTTATTCAACAAAATAGTTACTATACAAATGTGAACTTTGTAGTCATTGAGAGGAACTAAAACACAAAGAACTGAACAGATGAGACAAAGAAGATGCTATATGCAACTGTGTACAACTACAAAGATTGCCTTCTCTGGGTGGAAATGCGCTATCCTACTCTAACTGAGGCTGCTATGAAAGACAGTTCTCGAATTTCTGTTTTACTGAAGCAAAAAAAAATGTGCTGGCAAACAGCATTTCATCAAAAGAGCACGCATGTACAGCAAGAGCAGAACTTTTGATATCACGAAATGACG